GTCCTCTAAAGCTATGAATAAAAAAAAATGTATGTTCCTATTTAAGAAACCCAAGGTGACCTTGACTTTGCCAAGAGAACAAACTGTTTTCAAAATTTGCTTTACTAATATCTATTGTGCACTTCATACCCTGCAAATTTTATTCTAAACTTTTTTTCGTAAGGTGGCTGCAAGTGGGAGAAAAATCGTGAGTAGCGTTACAGGTAACATCCTGTATATTAATTTTGTTATTGCTTAATAGTTATGTCATTATTATTTGACTGTAATGTCGCGTAAATTGTGTTATATGTTATGCAATAGTGTCAACGTTTTGAAATGATCATGCAATTATGATATTATAGATACATTATATATTATAGATACATGCAATTGTGTACATTATACACAATTTGGAGATTTGTTATATATTAATATACCTATATTATTTTATACGTTTTAATGACCCTTTGTACTCAAAAGGTGATTCACATTCACCACTTAGTTTAACATAACAATTTCGAATGAAAACTTTTTAATGAAATCTATAGTTTTCATGTATGACCTATGAACACAGTGATGCCGACAATATGACTGGTGGTAAAAAATAACAACTTCAAAAAACTTCGTCGAATTTTTATAATTAGGAAGTGCTACAGCTGCTATCTGCTGTCAGTAAAATCTTCGAATGCAAAGGATTAATTATTAAATTAACGAAAAATGGGGTAACAGTATTTTTTAACGTGAATAAGTTTTCTGACGAATATTTGAAATTCAAGTTTTTTGACAACGAAGTCATACATCAAAAACTGTAACGCTATATTTTTGACTTATTGTTATACATAAAACTACCATTTGGCATTATGAAAACGTAGCTACTTAATATTTTGTTATGTGACACTCATAATTTAAAAAAGAATACATACTTTTGGACACTCACAAGTAATGATAAGAAAGTTTAATTTAATAATGATATTTTGTGTATGAAAATTTATATTTCAAATGATAAGAAAAATTTAAAGTGAAGGTAGATACGATTGCAAATTTGCAAAATTTTGAAGCGACATAGCACTAAATTATAACTACAAAATCTAAACAATATTTTCAATAATTTTATTAGTTATCAAATATATTTATTAATTGGCAAATTAAATAATTTCTTGAAATTTAATAGAATGCTAGAATTTACAATATAATGTAAAGAAAAGAATTAATCAAACTATTCTTTTTTCCTATTTATTTTTTTAAACGTAACAAATGTCAGTTGAATTATTGAAAATAAATTCTAATATTCTCTTGATTTCTAAAAGTGTAATATTTTAGATTAAAAATGTTATTATTATTATAGCAATTTTAACTATTAATATTAATTATCAAAATTTTATTATGTATAATGGAATTCATTAAAATCTCTTTTTTTCAATAAAAATGTATTGAATTATTTTTTACATTTAAATCCAATTCTAATAGAAATTTGTTGATTGAAAATTGTTAATAACTAATGACTTATCCCAATAACAATTAGCTTAACGTGTATTCTTTTATTTCAAAATAACAAAAATAATTTAGTATATTATATTAGCTTTCTCAGTGTGTGAATCTACTAATGTTTAATTTAA